AGGGACAGCGCCAGAGACAAAGTCAAAGAGAGAGACCTCATCTACCGCATCACACAGTAAGTACAGCTGCAGATCCTCGATCCAGACGGCAAAGTCAATGGCCCTCCCCTCAGCGTCAAAAGTGAGAACATTGGGGGTGGCCATAGCAGCAGCTGAAAGTCTCACCGGGATGGGAGAGTCGGGTAGGTCAGCAGCAGGCGGCTCGGGCTGCTCGTGCAGCTCAGGCGGCTCGGGCTGCTCAGGTACCGGGCGGCTCGGCTACTGCGGGGCGGCTCGGCTACTGCGGGGCGGCTCGGCTGCTGCTGGGCGGCTCGGCTGCTGCTGGGCAGCTCGGCTGCTGCTGGGCGGCTCGGCTGCTGCTGGGCGGCTCGGCTGCTGCTGGGCGGCTCGGCTGCTGCTGGGCGGCTCGGCTGCAGTGCAGCGGCGGGGCCGGGACAAGGCCGGCGGTAGGGCCGGCGGTAGGGCCAAGTAGGAGCCGGCGGCGGGCCGAGTAGGAGGCCGGCGACGGGCCGAGTAGGAGGCCGGCGGCGGGCCGAGTAGGAGGCCGGCGGCGGGGCCGAGTAGGAGCCGGCGGCGGGGCCGTGTAGGAGGCCGGCGGCGGGCCGAGTAGGAGGCCGGCGGCGGGCCGAGTAGGAGGCCGGCGGCGGGCCGAGTAGGAGGCCGGCGGCGGGCCGAGTAGGAGCCGGGGCCGGGCCGTGTAGGAGGCCGGCGGCGGGCCGTGTAGGAGGCCGGCGGCGGAGCCGAGTAGGAGCCGGCGGCGGGGCCGTGTAGGAGGCCGGCGGCGGGCCGAGTAGGAGGCCGGCGGCGGGCCGTGTAGGAGGCCGGTGGCGGGCCGAGGAGGAGGCCGGCGGCGGGCCGTGTAGGAGGCCGGCGGCGGGGCCAAGAAGGAGGCCGGCGCGGGGCCGCGTAAGGGGCCGAGTAGGAGCCGGCGGCCCAGGGCCGCGTAAGGGGCCGGCTCGGAGCCGCGTAAGAGGCCGGCGCGGGGCCGCGTAGGAGCCGGCGGCGCAGGGCCGCGTAAGGGGCCAGCGCGGGGCCGCGTAAGGGGCAGGCGGCGGGGCCGCAGGGGAGAGGGCGACCCGAAGGGTCGCTAAAACAAAAAGGGCGCGCCTCGGGGCGCGCTTCGGTGGGCCCAAAAAATTCGGTCCTGGAGGGACCTAGCTCTATACCATGTGAAACTATGAGCAGAGGAATGAATTGACTAAGTCAGAGTTGGGTACAAATACAACCCTATCAAACTGTACCCCATATGTGCTACCCCACTATAGCCTACAAACATGCATCAGCTATAACAATCTGACACCCCTTGCGCAGTAAATCAGTGAGTGGGGCTGTTAAACGTGCCATGTCGGGCACGAACCGTCGAACGTAATTAACAAAACCTAAAAAACTCTGCAGTTCCGTAATGTTCGTCGGGGGGCGCCACGCTTTTACCGTATCCAGCTTCTTTGGGTCAATCTCAACCCCAGCCTCCGAAATGACGTGACCCAAAAACTCTAGCCTGTCCCGAAAAAACTCGCACTTGGAGCCCTTGGTGAGTAGCCGATGTTCCTCCAAAACCTTAAAAACTGCTTCAAGATCCACTAAGTGCTGCTGCTTATCCCGGCTGTAAACTAGAATATCGTCCAGGTAAACTATCACGCATTTATCTAAAAGTGGTCTAAACGCCTCGTTCATGGTCATCTGAAATGTCGCAGGCGCGTTTGTCAGCCCGAATGGCATTACTGTATACTCGAATGACCCGTACCTAGTCCTAAATGCTGTTTTGGCGCAGTCCGATGGTTCGACCCGAATCTGATGGTAACCTCCCCGTAAATATATTTTCAAAAAGACTCGTGCTGTTCGCAGTTGGTCGATCAGTTCGTCGGCGCGGGGGATGGGGTATCGCGATTTGACTGTTACCCTGTTAAGCGCTCGGTAGTCGATGCACATGCGGAACCCTCCGTCTTTTTTCGGTGTGAACAGTATCGGTGCGGCGAACGGTGACGAGCTCGGTCGGATAAACTGCTTCTCTAACAGGTAATCTAACTGCTTCCTTAATTCGTCGAGCTCGGGCTGTGTCAGTCGAAATTGCCGCTGTACAGTTGGCTGTGCCCCCGGTTCTAACTCGATCCTATGGTCGTGCGCCCGCTGAGGTGGCAATCCCTGTGGTAAATCATCCGGAAATATCCCCGGGAACTGTTTCAGTAGTGCCTGTAGTTCGGTCGGTACAGTTGCCAGCAGTTTCTCCAAATCACTCGGCTGCTCATCTTTTTCTACGAGTGCGATATCCACTGCGTACACGTCAGCTCCAGCAGCGACAGCCCGTTTCATCGTGATGGCGTTGACCTGGACCGTCGAAGATTTGGGTGGCTGCCAGCGAGGTAGAACGACCCAGTTACCACTACTTCGCACTGTGCAGCTCCCCGTCGTCCAGTCGATCCGTGGGTTGTACCGTCGCAGCCAATCACGTCCTAATAAAATGTCGTGCCCATCCAGTGTCGTCGCGAGCATTTCCTGTGTAAACCCGAAGTTTCCCCCGCAGCGGACTTTTACGCGCTCCACCTTTTCCCGTATGGCCAGGGGCGTGCCGTCGACTAAGCGTGCATCTATCTCAGGTAAACATCGGTTAAGCGTTAACTGTAATTTTCGTGCGGTTGCGGTATTAACTAAGCTGTGGCTTGCTCCTCCGTCAATGAAGATCTTCACTGCTGCTCCCTGTATTTTCCCGTAGATCAGTACCGGGCAATCCGTCGCTGTACCCTCCTTATTCATCCGAGCCCGATCGATGGCGTGAATCGGTACGGTGACTCGGTGAGGGTCGGTGTGGTTGGGCGAGCAGGCAGTCTCGTCAGTAGTTGGCCCAACTTCTACTGACTGCTGGCGTTTCCCTGCCTCCGAGACTCCTTCCCCTGCTCTGCTCCTCGACGCCTCAGCTCCTCTGGACATTCGCTCTTGCGATGGCCCGGCCGGTTGCAAGCAAAGCAGCGCCCTCTAAACGGCGCGGCAGCTGCATTCGCTGCGACGGCATGTACAGTGGCGTGCTCGGTCGGTCCCCGAGGACGATGTCCGTAATAGGACCCCGGTCTCGGTCGGCGTAGGATATCGATTTTCTCGGCGAGCGCGAGGATCTCGTTGAAATTCGAGAGCCCGCGTAGCATTATCTCGTGCGAAATGTCCGGCTTCAGCCCTCCGACGTAACGGTCCACCCGCTCCGCCTCGTGCATGTAGCCGACTTGTTCGCAAAGTGCGAGAAACCCGCTGGTGTAGTCTTGAACTGACCCGAGCTGGCGCCAAGTGCGCAGTTTCTGACGCGCCGAAATCGAGGCCGCGATCGGCTCAAAGCGCGCCCGAAGCCCTGCGCACCACGCATCCCACGTGCTGTATTGGGCGGTTTCGCAGAACGAACTCCAGGTAATAGCTGGACCCGAGGGCCCTTCCTCGTGCGACAGTGGCTCGTAGGCGCGCGGCGACGTCACAATGACTCGCCACCAGTCCATGGCGGGGCCCCTGAGTAGTGAAACCGCATACCGGATCTTGGCGGCGTCCGACTCGACGTAGTTGGCGTCGAAAAACACATTCATCGCGAAGACCCACGATTGAACTGTCGGGCCGCCGCGTTGGCTTGGGTCGAAGCAGGGCGGGCGTTGCGGCTTGAGTGGCATTGGGGCCATCATGGCGTTCTCGCCACTGGTCGCCGCAAACTCCACGTGCCGACGGGCTTCTCGGGGCTCCCGTGGGCTTAATGCGCTCCTGTTCCCTCCCATGCCGGGCATCGGTTGGGCTGCGCCGTCACTGGCTGCGCCCGAGCGCTGTCCCGTGCTGTTGTGTTGCGTTGGTGTGCCGGATGAGATGACGATGGGCTCCTCCGAATGTGCAGATGCATTGGTTGGTGCGTGTGATGTCGTCGGTACGTTCACCGTTGACTGTTGACGGGCGGAGTCACGTTCCGCCGTGAGAGTCGCGATTTCGAGCGCCGAATCCTCCAATTGACGCACGAGACGATCGAGTTGCTCCTGCGTCAACGTGGCGAGATTGAAATCGGCCATGGCGGGGGTGTCGGGCAAGCTCAGCGAGAGCCTCGGTCGTGGCCGTGCGTGCTTTCGAGAGAGCACTACGAGCGGCGGTGCTGTGTCGCTGAGAGACGTCTACCCCCCCAAAAAAATTGAGATAGTGGGAAGCGAAGGTGTGGATGCGGTCCGAGATGAGATCGTAGGCTCTGAATACCAAGTGTTACGAGTGCAATTGAGTGAACGAACGAGAATTGCACTATCGAAGCAAGAATACAAATGAGCGAAGGCATGAGCGAACATTATATAGCGAAACTACCGTGGTAACGGTAATGGTCGCGCGACGAGCCTGGGACTGAGGTTGGGAAAGTGTCGAAGCGTAGGTCCGGAGCGCGGGTTACCAGCCGAGCCGTGAGGTCGGGATGCGATGTGCGAAAAGGGCGGGATGATGAATGATGCGATGGTCGCGAGTGGTAACGGTGCTGACTGAGGTGCTACAGTGATGTACGCGTTGAGCAGGGACGCGAAGTAAGGAAAAGGGAATTTCCTTACACTTACTAAATTTGATTTATTCAGTCTGAACTAAACAAGCCACAAACTTCCACCCATCACAAAATGCTTCCTATGTTTAGGCAGTATATGCAGATAGCAATACCAGCCATAGCACCCAAACATTCTTCCATATACCACCTAGGCAGATACATGTTTGCAGACTTGGGTTCCAAGCTAATGATGACAAGCAGTAAATGCATACATCAACTGATTGTTGACCAACCGCTATAAATGTACGATACAGAAAGGATGTAATTTACAAAGACGAACGGATCTTCTCACCAGAGCGCCTGAAACCAAAAGCATTAGGACCGTCTTGGTGAATACCCTGAGTTCTACCTTGTTTCTTTGCTTGCTCAGCCCGTGAGGCTAGTCTGTACAGAGCCTCGTGCACTTGATCAAAGACTGGGTTGCATGTTGCCCTCACTGCCTCCAGCCATGCCTGCACCTTCTTGTGGTTTCCTAGCACAGCTTCCTTGCCTGCAGCACCCAACAACTGGGATGGGAATGGATGTAGAATGGAATGCTTCAGGTGAGAGTGCTCAGCAGACGTGTCATGCCGAAAGAGAAGGTGGGTAGTGCTTTTGTAGAAGCTGGCATGCAAGCTCACCTCGAGCTGCATCAGCTCGCATGCAATGCTGAGATCAGCAATAGAGGGATGGATGTTGGCATCAAGGAACTGAGGTGAACCAGGCTTGGACGGGTCTGCTTGAACCAGCATCACTCGCTCCATGGCACAGAGAGATGATTGCAGCTCATGGCGAGAAACGGCAGCAATATGCGTATCCGATGAGAGCCCAAACATGCTGCATATCACTTCATTCCACACAATACCAACTACAAGACAACAAAAAATATACGTCAAGAGAGAAATACAACATCTAGAGAAGTGAGGCGCAAGACCAAGGGAAATTGCTGTTACCAGTGTGTCTCCGAGTGTTGTTGTGGTGCCAGTCCAAGAGAGCGTCAACTCGTGACCTCTTCTGCAGATTATGTGGATACCAATCTTCGTTGCAAGTGCGAGTTGCTGCAACGTACTTCATAATGGCATGGCTGTGTGCATGAGGTGCATATAACGATGAAGGCATGAAGGACGCACGATGATTTCATGCCAATTGAAACTTGATGCACGCACGTCACAAGAAAGAGAGCAAATGCGCTTTTGCTGTAAAACGAAATGTGGATGAGAAGTGCAGAAGTCCTACGTCACCTCTCATATAGAGTGAATCCATCGTCTGTAATTGCAGGAATAAGTCCAAATGGGTTGACCTCTGCAATTTACACGAAAAAACATAGGAATTCCATAATCTAATTCCCGGCAAGGACAGCGACACCTGGCAACCTTGAAATGTAACGTACCTCCTCAAACAAAGCCAAAACAAGGAGCTGTCTCTGACTCGACTTAACCTACCTTTGTACGAGGGCGCTCTATGCTCTCCCTTTATCAGGTTAAGCACTCTTGTTTCATGCTGGATGCTATTGAGTCTGTAACCACATGGCAGAGAGAGAACAGTGACGACAAAAAAAACCACCTATTAACGGTACTGGGCGGCTCGGGGGGATTGGGGTAACGGACATACCGAAAGAATATCATAACAGCCCGACTGGGCTGTGAAATTGGATTCGCGTAAAGGACGATAGCCATGAATAACCTTTGTCAGACTGGGCTCTCTTATTCCGCCGTCAATTGAGAGAGATAAAAAAATGAACTAGTGCGAATATTATCGGACGAGCAAGAAAGAAACAAATATGGCATTGGGGCACATCTTGTGCACGCGGATGTCATGCACTACCCATGCATGGGTGGGTCAAGTTTGTTCGTTTAGGGCTCAATTAGCGCGGTGTAATTCGTTAACTCAAGGTCAGGCACGGTCTCCGTTCTAACCGCTCTATACCAGCGCGCACCAAACTGTGAACCCTACCAGGTCAGTTGTGAACGAGTGAAAAATGATTCGACATTAGGAGCGCGTCGCACGAATGTTCCACAAACCTTTCTGTCAACGCCATCCGTCCGATGTAGCGCCAGTCATTCCCAGTGAAGCGAGAGGCACCACATGTCCAGTACGATGAAACCAAGGAGATCTGGGAGGTTTGTCAGGCAAATTCAGGTCGTCTCTCCAGCAAGTGTCAAGAGGGGCTAGTGTCATGACACCAACTCGAAAACACATGGAGGACTATCCCTCCTGGTGTCAGCTGAACCAACCAATGAGATCGCGGGAAATCGTCCAATGTGCCCAACATTGACACCAGGCTGGAGCCGCGCTCACACGCGGCTCCACTTGGTGTCAACCGTAAACAACGCTTGACACCAAGCCTTTCTTGACACTTGCTGGAGAGACGACCTCATTCATCATCATTGGAAAGCAGGTCGCTTCGGAACAACTGTAGCCTTCCAAATGAGCACGAGTTTTCCCGCCAAACCTGTGTAGTTGGTTCAAGCCATTCGGTTTGGGCAGGCGCCCACGAAACACACACCTTTGATGGAGCCTCGGGGGGAATGAGGATGAACTCCAGCAGTTTTCTTGTAGTAGTTCGGCAGTGTCAGTGCACCCTCGCCAAGGTGATCCCATCACTGAACTGAAGTATCCAGCAAATACCTAGTAGGCGTATGACTTCGCTGAATACCCTTTAGGTCGATCCGTGACGCCCCCACGACTCGTCCTGTTCTGCGTATCCCTTTTGGTGAATAACTCGCCAATCACGCTGCTAAGAGCAGCAATAGAGTAAAGGGAGCCTGCAGGAATCATGGCTAGCGCGGCAGAAAGTGAGGAGCCACAGGCGGCAACGCGTCGCGATCTGTATGAAGTGCTGGGGGTAGCACGAGAGGCGACGGACGACGAGATCAAGAGCGCGTATAAGAAGCTCGCCCTCAGGTACATTCAGATCCGCTCAGAATAGGGTTCTTCGAGTCACTAGTAGCATGTCCCCACGCCGTCAGAAGATATTAGACGCTATGACTTCCTTTGCCACGAATAGGTTGCTCCTATTCGAATCCCCTCATCAGTTTCATCTCTCTTTCGACTCCTTTCTAGCGGTCGAAGCCTAAATCCGGTGAAAAGTCTCCGAGTTAAGAATCTGGCTCGTGCACTGCACTCCCGATTTGTTGCTTACGACACAGGTTCCATCCTGACAAGAACGCCAATGATCCGGAAGCGACAGACAAGTTTAAAGAGGTCGCTTTCGCCTACAGCATTCTATCCGACCCTGACAAGCGCCACCAGTACACGATCAGAGGCTTCGACGTACGCACAGTTGGTTCGCTCTGTTGCATAGAACGAATTATTATCATGCGTGCTGGATCGGGCATCGAAGCATCCTTGTGGTTCATGTACGAGGGAATGCATTGCATCGCTCCTTCCCCCTCCATATGTAATTTCGTTGTTCCTGCTTTCCCGTCACTCTCCCCTCTTGGATGCATGGCCATCACATGACTGCATCCACTCCCTCTCACTGCCTTACTTTGCGCCCTTGTGCGTATATCGGTGTCATGCGCGTCTGCTGTCCGTCGCACACCATTCTCCGTCGCATGGTGTCGCTCGTGCGACTGCTGCGTGTGCCTGGTGGGTGCCAGGCGGTGAACATGGAGGACATGGACGACTCGCTTGATCTGTCGGGACTAAGTACCTTCAACACGGCCATGGTCGCGCTCTTCAGGTACGCTGGTACACGATTACAGCTCACATTGCAGTCCAATTTAGGTTTTAGATGTTGAATCTTTCTATGGACAAGGAAGTTACATTCAGGTTGAATCCCGATGCAAACTCTCCCTGCTCCCGTATTCTTCTCCTTTCGTCGCCCTCCCCTGACCCCTTGACCTACTTTCCTGTCCCGCTTTTATGAAGGAGCTGTCTTTTACAATTACCATCACCCCGTCCTCCCTTCCCTCCCGCGATTACAGCAAGTTAGGCGTGCCAATAAAGACGTCAGTGTCGCAGGTCGTGCTGGAGGAGGCTTTAAGCGGGACTGTCACTCCACGCACGCTGCCTCTGGGTGGATCGATCAGTGACAGGGTGAGCAGCTGCTGCTACCTCGTCCTGTTGATCCACTGATAGATACAGCCCAATTCATCCGGGTTTTAGTGTCCTCCATTGTGTCACCCTCTTCATGCTCTCCTCCGCCGTTCCCCACCTCTCCTCTCTCCACTCATCTCCCTCACACTCACCTCTCATTTCATGACTCTCGCCACTTTTCCCACTCCCATCTCAAACCTTCGGGCCCCATACCCCTTGAAACTTCTCTCGTCTCCCTCTTGTGATCTGGAGCGCAGGTGGAGAAGCAGAAGGCGCATTTTTACAGTGTGACGCTGACGGAAGAGCAGGCCAAGAGTGGCCTTGTTGTCAGAGCCACGTCGTCCGCATCAGGCAAATTCAAGGTCAGCATGAGTGCAGCGCGTACCATGATGGTGTGCTATGAGATTCTCGTGAGATGCCATGGTATGCCGTTTATGTGCCATGATAGGCCATTATTTCCCATGTCTGCGCATGCCATGCCATGGTGTTATGTGATCGTTCTCGCTGTGCTGCTGTTAGTGTTGATAGAAAGAAGCAGACTCTCCTCCCACAGCAACATCGTGCTGCACATCATGCTTCTCATGACCCCCCTCCTCTCCTCTGTACCACCATCAATGCCATCTCCTCATTGCATTCATGTCTTTGTTTGCCTTCCCCAGCTACTATACTTTGACTGGCGATCAGAGACAGGAGGGCTGGACCTATCCATGCAGGTGAGACTGCTGCACATGGCAATTGCTAAGAACGTGCTAACTTTTGCTAGTCGGCTTCGCTTCCGTCCCTTATCCTTAGCTTCCCAATCCATCACCTCCCCGCACCCTCTTCCCTCTCCCGGTTATCACCAAATTCCATCCATTCTTTCACAAATGTACATGCACAACCACACCCCGCTGCATTGAGCCCCATTCGATGTCCAGCAACCGCTCCCTCCCCATCTCCTCCCGTACCCTCACGTTCATCACCACCCCATGCTGCCCATGTGTGCAGGAGAGCAGCATCAAGTACGGCAAGTCGTCACAAGCATGCCTCTTCTTCCTCGGCTTCCAGTGCTACCGCTACGACCCCACTGCCAGTGCTGTACGCCCCACCCTCCTGTCTCGCCTTTCCACGCTCCTCACGTTAGACCATGCCATTCGTTTTGTGTGTGCATGGTTGATCGTGTACAGTTTATGCACATAGATTCGTAAACCTGGCTCTCTCTTTGCCTATCTGCCACCCGTCCTTCTGCCCCTTCCCCCCCTCCCATTCTCTCCACTCTCACACTCCTCCATACTCGACCCCTTCCCTCCCTCTTGCCCCCAATTTCCTCCGATACCCCTGTTCCCACAATACCCCTCCATACATCGCTGCTCTGACGATGCCCTTCTCGTCCCCTCTCAGTTGGAGATGGCGCGAGATCCTGAGACGTCTCTCTTTTACCGCCTGGATGGCCTGTCCAAGTGCGAGGTGAACGAGCTCAAGGACGGCACACATGTCTTCGCTGTCTACGGTGCGTGCCCTGCCCACACGGTGTAGCACACCTTTGCTCTCCTCGTCAGATTTGACTGGCAGCACCTGTACCTCCCTCTTCCATGCCCTCATACCACCTCCCTCCTCAATCGTTACTCTCTTCTTCTCCCTCATGCCTCCTCCCTTCACTCTCACGTGTACAGGAACTATCTTTCGCATGCGAGCTTGATATTCCATAGAAACCACAGGTGCCACTAGAGTTATGGCTAGGAGCCCCAACTCCTCTAATACCCATCATCCTCTTTCCACACCCCTTGCCCTCCCCACCTCCCCCACTCCCCCCACCCAACCCCCCCTGCCTCTTCTTTCCCTCAATTCCCCCCACCGTGCCCACACATGCAGGTGACAATTTCCTCAAGGGCACGTCGTACACGATAGAGGCGGTGCCAGTGCAGGCGGACTCGCCAGCAGTGGCGGAGCTGCGGCGTGTGGAGGCGGAGCTGGTGGGCAAGAAGGAGCGCGTGCGCAAGTTCGAAAAGGAGTTCCGTGATGTCAGTGCTGCGGGGGGGTGTGGGGGGAGGGGGGATTGTGGGGCGCAGGATTGCGTGACAGGGTGGGGAGGCCAGACAGAACGATGGGTTGGTGGTGTGATGTTGGGGTTTTGAAGAGTGGTGGATGGGTGAAAAAGGGAGTTGGGAAATGCATCTCGGCAGCATCGTGCTTGGCTATCTCTCTCTCTTCTTTCCCTGTCATTAAAAGATTATCTTCTTTCCTCTCAGCTCATCTTGGCTTCACCACTGTGTTTATGGCTCTGCTCCTCCCTCCCAACGCTCCACCCAACTCCAACTCTGTATTTCCACATTATCCTTCTCATGCGTGTGTTTACTCTCCTCTCCTCCTCGCCACTGCAGGCTGTGGCAAAATACGTGGAAGTGGTAACACAGTACAACACGGAGAAGGAGGAAGTAGATGACCTATTATCCATGCGGTTTGCCACTATGGAGATGTTCACTGCGGCCAACATGGGAGTGGGCCCTGTTGCCGACCCCCGCAACCCCTCTGCTTCATCCCCTTCTGCAAACGGCCGGGCGGGGCCGTCTTTCTCTGGATCTGACGATCAGCAGTTGCAACAGCAAACCAGCCGTTCCAAATCCAAAAAGTGGTTTCCTTCGTTCCTCAAGACCTC